GGAAAAATATGAGACTTAAACTTAATTATTATTATGATATTGAAACTCCATGAATACAAGTTATGAACATGGAGAGAAGAAGAATGGAAAAGCTAAAAATACAGGGATAACCTCTTACATTGATCAATCTGGTATTTAGATTATATACACTATGAAGATATTGAAGAAGTAGCTTAGAATGTAAGTAACTAATCTAACCAACTACGCTAGTTGTTTCAAACAAATATAACTAACCCTAGAACAGATAGAAATGTTGTATGAATTAGTTAAATCAGTTTATAGCCTCCTACAAGTTAAACTTTGGTAGATGTTGAGGAAGTTCAACTTAAACATCAATGCATGAAATGGTTTTGGAAGTAGAGATTTAGTGAAAAAATTTGCAAGTTGATTGTTAGATGAAACAAGAATGAGTTTCATCACACTTGCCAAGAACTTTTCACATATGTTATGGCAGTCAATTTCAAGGTGTTTAGTTCTCTCGTAAAAGACGAGATTCGTATCTATGTGTAGAGCATTTTTGCTGTCACCAAAAAGAACCAGTGGCTTGGAGCATGTGATGTGCCGATCATTAACCAAGTAAAGTGTCCACTAGAATTCACACATTGTTAATGCCAATGCTTGATATGAGTTTTAGAGGAAGATTCTGACACAATAGTGTTTTCTTGGTCTCCATGAAATGAGGGAAAATCCTATGTAAAAACAAGATTGTGATACGGATCTCCTGGTGTCCAAGAATCCCACCCAGTCAGCATCAGAAAAACCAGATAAATGAATGGCTTAATTTCTAGGAAAAGAAGACCACAACCTGGGAAAACTTTCAAGTATCACAACACTCTACAAGTTGCACTGTAGTGAACTATGTATGGTTTAGATATGAATTGGATGAGTTGTTGAGTGATAAATGTGATATCTGGCTTGGTGATGTTGAGATATATTAATCTTCTAATGAGTCTTTGGTATGCTAGAATATCTTCAAATGCAGGGCTATCATCATGGCACGACTTTATAGCAGGATCAAAAGGTGTGTTAGTAGGTTTGGAACCAAGGAAATCTGAGTTAGTTAGTAGGTTAAGGTAATACTTCCTTTGGTGTATGATGATACCTTGTTTCGAGTGTGCAACCTCTGATCCTAAGAAGTATTTAAGAGTGCTAAGATCTTTGATTTTGAGTTCTCGATGTAGGACAATCTTCATGTATTAAAACTCAACCATTGAGTCACCTGCTAGAATCACATCATCAACATAAACAAGTAGGAATGTGAGTGACGAAGGTGTCTTCTTAACAAATAATGAACGATTTGAGGGTATTTCTTGATAGCCATGTTAAAGAAAAAGTGGAGCTAGTTTTTCATACCATTGGCGGCTTTCCTGTTTCAAGTCATAAAAGACTTAGCTTTCAAACTTGATTAGGTTAGGATGATTTAACATTAGGAGGAAGCACCATATAAACATATTCATTTATTTTACCTTGTAAGAAGGCATTATTTAATCAAGTTGATGTAAATTCCAATTGTTAATAAAGGCTAAAGCTAAAACAAGTCCGATTGTGGTGAGCTTTGCAACTGGTGAGAATGTACAAAAATAATCCAAGCCTTCAATCTGATTATATCCTTTTGCAAACAATCATGCTTTAAAACTTTCTATCCTGCCCTATTCTTTATGTTTGATTTTGTAGACCCATCTACAACATATTGGCTTCACATTGGTTAGGTGGTCTACCAATTTCCAATTGCCTGTTTTCTCAAGGGAATCAAGCTGAACTTTCATAGCTTGATTCCAACATTCAAACTTAGATGCCTCATTAAATGTTTTTGGTTCATTTTGTGTGGTAAAGGATAAACTAAAATGACAATGACAATGAGAAAGATTAGAATAGGAAAGAAAATTAGAAATAGGATAAATAGTACTTGAAGAGGACTGGTTTGGTGTATCATTGAAGCTTGCACAAAAATAATCTTTGAGATGTGCTGGTTGGTGCTTGACTCTAAAAGATACACGTATAAGAGGGTGTTCTATGTTATGTTAAATATCAGGTAAGGGTTGGTATTATGTATTGGTGTGTTAAGTGTGGTTATCTCATGGTCTTGGGGATTATGAGGTTCCATAGGAGGGTTGGACATTCGACTGCCATAAGTTTCTAGTGGAATGGTGTTTAGCTTGGGTCTTAAGTCACTGAAATATCCCAATTTTGGGTAGTAGAATCACAAGATGTATCCTGGTATGGTAGTATGAGATCCTGATGAGTAACATTTCTTGAAATGACTATGTCATGAGAATGAATGTCCAATAAGAGAGATCCTTTATATCTAACTACATATCCTATAAAAATAGGTTTTCTAGCTTTAACATCAAGTTTAGTTATGTGGTTGGACAATGTTGATGCATAACAAAGAGATCCAAAGACTTTTATTTGGTTTATGTCTGATAAGGTATCATAAATGAGTTGGTATGGAGACTTTTGGTTGAGTATAGGTGTGTAAACTCTATTGATGACAAAAGCAACATAAGAAACTACATAAGACTAAAATCTTTTTGATAAGTTTGACTGATAAAGTAATGCCCTCCCTACATTGAGAAAATGTTGATGTTTCCTCTCCACCCTACCATTTTGTTGGGGAGATTCAACATAAGATCTCTGATGCACAATGCTTTTTGAAACATAAAATTGAGGTATTAGGAATTCAAGTCCATTGTCTAACCTCAGAGTTTTAAGGCAAGTTTGGAACTGGTCTTCAACATGTATAATGAACTGTTTTACATGTTCAGATACTTCTGCTTTGGATTTTAGTAAAATGATCCAAACAAATCTACTATAATCATAAAGAATAGTGAGAAAATACTTATGACCATGAATATAATTGATAGCTAAAGAACCCATATATCAAAGTGTATCAATTCAAAAGCATGAGCATCTCTAGAATTACTTAAAGAATATGAATTTTTATTATATCTAGAAAATGACACACACCACAAATGGATTTATTATGATTAACAACTTCTGGATATAATTGAGCCATTTGATTCAATCTATTGTGAAACAAGTGTCCTAATCTAAAGTGTCATAAGGCTTGAGTAGGAAGAACTTTACAATTGTTGGTGTATGTATTGGGAATTTGTTGTTTCCAAAGGGAATTATTGAGATTGTTGGGTCGTGGCTTGACTGTATTGACAAGGAAATAATTAGCATCAACCATCCGTTTGTACAAGCCTTCAGATTGTCTATACAAACCAATGATCTTCTGGGTTTGAACATCCTGTATAACACATTTGTTAGAATAAGATTTGGTTCTGCATCTGGCATTTAGTTTTGATGGTAACAATACATTATTTCTTAGAGAAAAATTTTGTATACTAATGGTTTTGTGTCTAGTGTGTACCTTTTTCTTAACAGGTTCTGACTCTAAAGATTTGATGTGTGATGTCATCAGACTTTGGAGTTAACACACTTTGACTCTGAAGAGATACAAGTGCTTTACAAGATGATGTCAAGTTCTAGAAAACTCTTAAACAATGGTTATGAAGAAAGTTTATGCTAAAGCTTATGACTGTACTTTTATTGAAGATCCTCTGAAGCATTTTCTACCTTTAAGATTTTGTGTTCAAGTTCTGAAGATTCTGAAAAACAAGATCTGAAGACTTTGAATACCAGGTTTTGAGGAACTATGTCAAAACTCTGAAGACCAAGGTTCTGAAGATTTTCTCAACCCATCTCTTGATCCTTATAAACATGCTTCAACATCATTTTATCAGAAGCTTGTGAAGATTAGAAGATTAGATTAAAAGGTTTTGCATCAGGAAAATTGTACACAGTACAAGAACATTCGTCTCTCCACTACCCTGATTTTGTGGGCGAAGAATAGTACTATTATACCATTTTGCCTCCCATTTGCAAACTATTATGAAAGAGACAACTACATTATGCTATTACAATTATACCCTCCAATAGATCTTTTATCTTCCTATATAAAAAAGACTATGACAATTGAAAGAAGAAGAAGAATTGTTAATCGTTGTTGCTCATGCAAGCAAAATGCTCAAGCTATTGAACATACACACTTTGTCGAAATATATAATATTTTATGTGTATATTATTTTTAAACACACATAGATTTGTTTCTCGTTATTGTGTGAGATATTCATTGTATTAACTTGTGTTAATCTACTTTCTAAGAAGCACTCTTTGTAAAAACAACTTGTAAATCTCAATCTTGTTTGAGTGGTTTTCTTTGAGTGACTAGGGTCTAGTCAGATATACTCGAGAAGACAAAGACAGTTAGTCTTTATGGTGTCTGTAATCAAATTTGATTATAGTGGATTAAGTCCTTAATGAGAAGGAGAAATCACCTTGGTAGGGTGGGTTGGAGGTAGCTTCGTTAACAGCGAATCATATAAAAATAATTTGTTATTTTTATTATTCGTGTTTTTGCTTGATTGAGTTAGTTTTGAAAAAGCTTTGGTTTTTAGAAACCCAATTCAACCCCCCTTTCTTGTGTTTCTTGCCACCTTCTGTTGCACCCCAAAATTTGCCCAACTTTTCTTTACCTAGCTTATGTTTCATTTCATTCACATTAGCATTATCATTTGCATTTCATTGACATGTGTGCAGGAGATCAAGAGGTATGATTACCAATCAAGAGCTATACAAGATTGTGAAGCTAGCTAAGAAGCTTATTCAAGTGTTCAAGGGTTGATATCCTTGTCAGAAAAGTTAAAAGATCCTCAGAGAGAGTGGTTGAAGCCAAGAGGGTGTGTCTCCTAACTTGAGAGTTGTGGGAAGTCATTAGATGATTATGAGGTCATGAAGTTGGACTTGAGGTCTTGAGAGATCTCATCACAAGTGTTGAAGATCACTTTGAGGCCTAGACAGGTCATTGTGCAAGACTAAGAAGGCTCAACCATGATTGGTGCAATTAGGGTTTGACTGGGTCAACCCTAAGTCAACTGATGACTTTTGAAGGGTGTGTTGGAATATTTCACACTGCGACTCCGGTTGATTTTGAGGTGAACGAACCGGAAGAAATAGTGACAAAAAGAACCATTGATGGAGCTTTAGGAATTCTAAGAGCTTGCAAAAATTCGAAGACAGTGAAGAGAGTTGTTTATACTTCAAGTGCTTCAGCTGTTTCTTTTCATGAGAGAGAAGAAGATGTATTGGATGAAAGTTATTGGAGTGATGTGAATATTCTAAGAAATTTGAAGCCATTTGGTTGGTCATATGCAGTTTCTAAGACACTAACTGAGAAAGCTGTTCTTGAATTTGGAAAAGAACATGGATTGGATATTGTCACTCTCTTGCCAACTTTTGTTATTGGACCTTTCATTTGCTCTAAGCTTCCAAGCTCAATTCATGGTTCAATGCCTTTCTTATTTGGTAAGTGTTTTTTTTGTTTTGTTATTATTAATATTTTCTAGTCTCTTAAGTCGTGATCATTTCTCATACATCAAAGTTGTTAGTATATGTTGTCAACTGGTTCATATTTTTCATTCAATGAAATTTTGAATATAAATTCAAGATTTCAAATATATGATGTTTTTACATGCTAAAGTACCATAATCAAGAAAACAAGAGCGATTTGCGTAATGGTGTTTAGAGATCCTACATTTTCCCTCTCAAATTACCTATTGTCCTATGACCTTGGAGATTGAGGTACTAATATATATTCGTATCATCCCACTATTGGAAATGGGAGATAACAAAACTCTTTTACCCACTTAGGATAAAGACGAGATTTCTCCTCTGTATCCACATTTCCTCACCATTATTCCACATGTGGTAAGGGAACAAGTCATGAATGGTGGGCCTAGCTTTGTCTGGCGGCTCAAAATACCCTTTAGGAATATAATCCTTTGAACATTTTGGGCACTTAAACTCTTTCCTAGTACCTGACTCCGTTATGTCATAGGCTACTTCTTCACAGAGCATCCCTTATTCAGACCTAGATAAATTATTCCAGTTCATAATCCCTCAAACATGAGGATTTGGAAGGAAGAAGTGGTTTAATGCCAATGTATCACTATTATGAGATTTTAAGAATTCCCCCAGCGAAGCATGGAGGTGAGTCCCTCTAGGGAAACACAATATGACTCTCTCAAGCGAAATATGGGGCGAGTCCCTCAAGAGAAGCATGGAACGAGTCTCTCAAGCTTGAGATATGGCAGGATATTCAATATTCCTCCAATTTCAATATTTTTTCGATATAATTACTTCCTTTCTTTCTTCAACCTTTACTTTTCAATAAATGTCAATTAGTTGAGAGTTAGACGAGAGAGGTAATGTGATTATGCCTTCCAATAACATGGATGTCATAAAATTACACGAGCATTGCACAAACAACGACAAATGGGTTGATGAAACAATTAATTATATGTCCATCAAAGTAGGAATGTCTAAGAGTAGTGGTTAAAGCGCTTTTTTTCGGCATTACGTCGAGAAAGCTAGACGTGCGTTCCTTGGCATCCCTTATTTTCTTCTTTCCATTAATTTCCTAGCCCTTGATATAACATTCTTCTTGCACCATGATTATTGCATGAAAACCTACGACCATTAGACGAGGGAGTGATCAAAGTGTACACTCGTTAGACCATTCTAAAATGCCCTTACAAACATGTCCTTGTTCGTATGTATGAATTTGACAGGTGCCTTGTTAAAGCGGGCGAGATACTCCTTCAACGACTCAAAGGGCCCTTGAGGGATGTTCGTGGTTGACACCTTCAGGTGATTGCTTCCAAAAAACTATTAGATTAACTTCTCCATTAAGTTTTGAAAGCTAATGACCGATAGACGTGGTAGATTCATGTACCATCATAGTGAGGTTTCCTTGAAAGTTATAGAGAGTAGCTTGCACTTCAAGTAGTTATTAGTGTCGATGATAGTCAACTGGGTGTTGACGGAGGTACCATGCTCCTAGGGGACACTCCTTCTGTCAAACTTTATTAATGATATGAGTTTGAAAATTTCTAGCACCCCCCATATTTTGTTGGAAAGAGCTTAGGGGTCCAGGATTTTAATTTCATCAAATGAATCGGCCTCCTATTGGCGATGTTCAAAGATGATGACATTGTTCTCAAAAGCTTGATTGTGGTGACACTGTTCTTCCAAGGCAACTTCTTGTGTAATATGGCCCGATGATTGTTGTTAGAATTGTTATCAACTAACATGAAGCCTTGTTTTTTACCATCTTCAGGGTGGCAGTTAAGGTTATTTTCGAGGTGAATGGAGGTGTGGCCTATGTTAGTTTTACTTAGATCCCACGACGGGCGCCAATTATACTGACTAATGTACAATATTCAGGAAAACAAGATTTGTTCACATTGTAATAGTCAGAGACCTTGTATTTTATCCCTCAAATTTTTGTCTCTTCTTTGCCCTTAGGGGTTGAGGAACTTATATAGGCTGATCCACAAACTTTTCTAGTAGAAGTAATTATCATCCCACTATCAAGAATGTGGGACAACGAAACTCTTTTCCCCATTAATGGAAAGAAAATTTCCTCCATTATCAACATTCTCTCACTGTTATTCCAAATATGATAAATGGGCAGATCATGGATGGTGGACATAAGCCCTATCAAGCGATTCACCGCGCCCTTCGAGCAACTATACCCCTTCAAACACCCAAGCTTATTTCAGGATACTAACCCACTTTAGACGCCTAAAACCTTTCCTACCCCTTGGCTCAATTATGCCAAAGGCTACTTCATGATGGACCATCCCTTATTCAGGCCCGAATAAATTATTCGAGTCCAATATTGATTTAATTGTCAAGATGTGTTTCATATAATCATTATAAATATATTATGATTAGAGGTGTTCATGAGAGCTCAGTAGATGTGTTAAACCTAATAATCAAAATAAACTTAACTCTCGGTAAGGGAGCCAATCCATTGAAAAAAAAGTATTTTTTTATATTGTTTTTACTATGATTTAAGACTTTGCTAATAGGTTGATTTAAAAGTGTTAAAATTTTAATTATAAGGGATTTTAAAATTTTAATTAGTTCAAATGTTTTAATTGAATTTCTCTTATAATTAATTTTTTTTTTGCTAAAATAAAGTATTACAATTATTCATCGTAATATTTTTTAGCCAAATTTAAAATTTAAATTTTTTTTATAAATTTAATTGTAAAATTCAAAAAATTAAAGGATTAATTTGTTTATTTAAAAATTTTAAGAAATCAATTACGACTGTTTTCAAAAAATCAAGTGTCAACAAAATACTGACAAAATATATTCAAAATTCCTCTAGTTTTAACTTGAATAAAATATGATTAAATTTTTAAATTTTTTATCATTTTGAAAATTTTCATATTTTTTATTTAAATATTAAATTTTGTTAAAATAATTTTAAATTTCGCGTAAATAATGATGAATTTTGTTGTAATATTAAAATTTAATTTAATTGTTACTTTTAGAATTTTTAAATATTTTTTCTTGTGGATTGGACAATTTCACAAGTAGACATCATACTGATGATGAGTACATATCTTATTAATGTCTGTATGAACATTATGATTTTCAATATTTCAATAAATACATATTTGACTATTCAAAACTTCATGAAAATAGATGTTTTGTATGTATATGACTCTTTCTTCAAATGTGCGGAGGACATAATTAGGAGGTTTTGCAATGCAGTTCGATTTGGTTTTAAAAATAAAATTGAATCGAATCAAAATGAATCAATGTGGTTTAAATTGATTTGGTTGTTTCGTTTTTCTATAAAAAAAATATTATTTAGTCATACAAACATATAGATGACAACATAATTTTGTATTTAGTTATTTATTCTTTATCAAATAACAATAAAATTTATCATATTTGGACAATAACTTTCTATTTAATATATAAAAATAAGAATATTATAAAAAAGTTAAATAAAGAACATAAAATAATAGCATAAAAACAATATCAAAAACATTATAATGAAATAGAAAAAACATAACAAATGAAATATTAAAGAAAATGAAGAAAAAAGAAAAGAGCAAAGAGTTTATAGAAGAAAAGGTGCATTAAAAACGTAATCCGAAGAGAGAGCCTTATAATAAAAATAAGACATGAAAAAGAAAGAACATAAGCGATGAGATACTAGAGAAGAAGAGGGGAGATGTAGGTGCAAAAGAATATGATAAGAAGTCACGATACTGCTAGGAGATATTTGAAAAGACTTAAACGTAAACCTTAAGTGTGAGAAAGTGAAAATCATTTATAATCATAAGGTTAAGACACAATAACTTTGAATTTGCGTTGGATGTGGGTTAAGTGAAGTTTGCAGTGTAACATAATACGGTTTTGTTCAATTAGGTTCAGTTTCCAAAATACAAATCGCAAACCGAATCAAATCATATAGTTTTGTTAAAAAAATGATCTAAACACATCTGAACTAAATGCAGTTTTTTGCGATTTTGATTTAATTTGGTTCGGTTAGTGATTTTCTATAAGGTAGTTTAGTTCTCAACATCCTTAAACACAGTAGATGCCAATATATTCAATATTCAGATTTGAGTTAAACAAAATTAAGAAATGAATGTTAAATTCAGGTGATGTTGACAAGAATTCATTTAACATCTCTCGTCTTCAAATGGTGCATGTTGATGATGTGGCACAAGCACATATATTCCTACTTGAACATTCTAATCCAAAAGGGAGATATAATTGCTCAGCATTCACTGCAACTATTGATGAATTAATTAACATTATTTCTTCAAAGTATCCTGAAGTTCAAATTCCAAAATCCAAGTGAGTTCTACATATGAAGTTCTTCATGATCATGAGATTTATATTTATGTGATATTTCTTTCATTGTTACTAATATTATTCTACCATTTATTTTCCTCTATTATAGAGTTCTTATGGGAGCTAAAGGTCCTAAGATTCCACATTTAACATCAAAGAAACTCATGGATGCTGGATTTAAGTTCAAGTATAGTGTTGAAAAAATGATTGAGGATACAATCGAATGTTGCAAGGAAAATGGTTATCTTTGAACCATCAAATTGGCTACATGAATGATAATAATAAATAAATGTTAGTATGTCACTATTTAATAATTGAGTTAATTGCTATTTAATGATTGTAAACTTTATAGTTCAAGCTAGTAATATGAACTTATTTGTATCAACCAACTCATTTGTTCGGATCTTTTTTATTAACGAAACACTACTATTGAGTTTAGTATTATTTATTCAGCCTTTTTTTAAGTAAACAGGATGTATTAAAAAGAGTATTAGAGATACTCAATCCAATAAAAGAAGGAAAGCGAAGGAATAACAAAACAAAAGCAACCTAACTCAACAGTAAATCATACACTTCAATGTCTTAAAGATTAAGGGAAAGGATCCATATGTACCAAACTAGTCCCATGTGGAAAGTCTCACCATCCTAACGGGATCCTTATCAACTAAGGATTCTCCCTTAAAAAGAATTGTGTTCCTAGCAAGACATAAGTTCCAAATAATAAAGGTTCAAAACAACATTCTTTAGATGTTGTTAAGCCTACCATTTACATGATTAAGGAAGAACCAAAAGTGGTAAATTGGAGAAAGCTCAACCGAATTACCATTAATTCTGGTCCAAGCCAAAACCTAACGCCAAATGCGAGTAGAGAACGGACAACTAAATAGAAGATGATGAGAAATTTCTTGAGAGAGGAAAAAAAGAGGACATGTTAAATTGTACGGCCCATTAACCACACCACATTTACGAAGTTCCGAACGAGTAGGAAGCATATCTTGTAGAAACTGCCAAATCAAGAATTTAGTGTTTATGGGAATGTTTGATTTCCAAACAAGCCATGAAGCCCTCTAGAGAGGAGGTGAAATACCGGGCGTTGTAGAAGAAGTGCTGTGTAACATTGTGTATGCAAATTTCACATAAAAACCCATCGAATCAGGCCATTAGTAGAAGTAATCAATCTTTGCAGGATTAGAAGAAACATGAAAAATCAAGCTGAGGTTAAAATCTAATTTGAGCTTGGTTGACACGTATAAAGAAACTGCATCAATATTCAAGTCCTATTTCCAAGAGACATCAACTAGTCCCCTAAAGAATGTATAAAGAGCCTTAAACCTGAAGCATAGTCGAACATAAGAGAGAAGAGAGCTTGAAGTATATCTAGTTACTTGCTCCTAATTTGCACGAAACAAAATACTGAACCAACAAATGTTGTCACATTCACAACCAATGACTAAAGCAATCCTCAAATCTCTCCACTATAATAAATGTTATTGTTATTGATATAAGCAAGAGCATTTAAACATAGGCTTTTAATATGGTTGTATATAAATGTGAGGATAAAGCTCCAAAGAGAATTTGATTCATTGAGAATTCTCCAAGCCCAATTGTGTAATAACGCTTTATTGAAACGCTCGCAGTGTTTATACCCAACCCACCCAAGAAACCCAATTGATTCTTCATTTCTTTTCCTCGCCCTTCCAAAGGAAGGCATGCTGAATTTTAATAACCCCGACAATCACAAGCTTTGACGCCCTGTAGAAAGAAAAAAGGAACATATGTATGGAATTTAGGACGAAGTTTAATAGAACCACTCTCCCACCATATGAAATAAATTTACCATGCAATGACTTGAGCCTACTCCGAAGCTTAGAGAGAATAGTAATCCAAGTAGATTTATTACGAGCATTCACTCTAATGGGGATGACGATAAAGGAGAAAGGAAGATGAGTGATTGAACAAGTCAAGAAGTCTAAAGCTGCTGTAAGAAAATCAGGATCCAAATTCAGACATAGGATCTTGATTTTGTGCAAATTCACACTTAAGCCATAAACTATCTCAAAGCCATGCAAAAAATATTTAAGGGCCCAAATATTTTCTAGACTATCTTCGCCAAAAAATATTGTGTCGTCAGTAAATTGGAGCAAATCTACATGAATGGATGAGGAGAAATTAAAAGGATACAAAATTTCTTATGAAACTACATTCTTCATCAATCCTATAAGATCATCTAAAACTAAAATAAAAATAAACGGGGATAAAGGATTCCCTTGACGAAGACTACGCTTAGCCGAAAAGTTCATTGTTGGGCTTTCATTGACTAAAATAGAGAAGGAACTATTGAAAAGACACGCCTGAATCCAACTTATAAATTTTGGGAAAAAATTCATCTTCTTAAGAATGAAAGAGATGTAATCCCAAAATACGGAGTCAAAAGGCGTATTTAAGTCAACTTTATAAAGAAACAAGTTTTTAATGTCTTCGAGTAAAATCGACAACATCATTTGACACATAAGCACCATCCATCATATTATGATCTAAAATAAATGTTGATTGATTAGCTGAAAGTAAAGATCTTATTACTTCCTTCATTCTTCCAGCAAGAAGCTTTGATATAATTTTGTAAATACTCCCAATTAGGCAGATAGGTCGGTATTTATTAAGGTCTTAGGGGTTTGATTTTTTTGGGACAAGAACAATAATACGTAAGAGAAGGTGTTCATCCCTTTTAAATATAATTATGATTATATATAAACTTTAAATAACCAATTCAAAACTCAAATGCTACAAATATAATCACACATATTTGAGAAAGATATTGTGTTATATGCAGTGGAAAAATATGAGACTTAAACTTAATTATTATTATGATATTGAAACTCCATGAATACAAGTTATGAACATGGAGAGAAGTGGAATGGAAAAGCTAAAAATACAGGGATAACCTCATACATTGATCAATCTGGTATTTAGATTATATACAATATGAAGATATTGAAGAAGTAGCTTAGAATGTAAGTAACTAATCTAACCAACTACGCTATCTGTTTCAAACAAATATAACTAAACCTAGAACAGATAGAAATGTTGTATGAATTAGTTAAATCAGTTTATAGCCTTCTACAAGTTGAACTTTGGTAGATGTTGAGGAAGTTCAACTTAAACATCAATGCATGAAATGGTTTTGGAAGTAGAGATTTAGTGAAAAAATTTGCAAGTTGATTGTTAGATGAAACAAGAATGAGTTTCATCACACTTGCCAAGAACTTTTCATATACGTTATGGCAGTCAATTTCAAGGTGTTTAGCTCTCTCGTGAAAGATGAGATTCGTATCTATGTGTAGAGCACTTTTGCTGTCACCAAAAAGAACCAGTGGCTTGGAGCATGTGATGTGCCGATCATTAACCAAGTAAAGTGTCCACTAGAATTCACACATTGTTAATGCCAATGCTTGATATGAGTTTTAGAGGAAGAGTCTGACACAATAGTGTTTTCTTGGTATCCATGAAATGAGGGAAAATCCTATGTAAAAACAAGATCGTGATACGGATCTCCTAGTGTCCAAGAATCCTACCCAGTCAGCATCAGAAAAACCAGATAAATGAATGGCTTAATTTCTAGGAAAAGAAGACCACAACCTGGGAAAACTTTCAAGTATCACAACACTCTACAAGTTGCACTGTAGTGAACTATGTATGGTTTAGATATGAATTGGATGAGTTGTTGAGTGATAAATGTGATATCTGGCCTGGTGATGTTGAGATATATTAATCTTCCAATGAGTCTTCGGTATGCTGGAATATCTTCAAATGCAGGTCTATCATCGTGGCACGACTTTATAGCAGGGTCAAAAGGTGTGTTAGTAGGTTTGGAACCAAGGAAATCTGAGTTAGTTAGTAGGTTAAGGTAATACTTCCTTTGGCGTATGATGATACCTTGTTTCGAGTGTGCAACCTCCTATCCTAAGAAGTATTTAAGAGTGCTAAGATCTTTGATTTTGAGTTCTCGATGTAGGACAATCTTCATGTATTAAAACTCAACCATTGAGTCACCTGCTAGAATCACATCATCAACATAAACAAGTAGGAATGTGAGTGACGAAGGTGTCTTCTTAACAAATAATGAACGATTTGAGGGTATTTCTTGATAGCCATGTTAAAGAAAAAGTGAAGCTAGTTTTTCATACCATTGGCGGCTTGCCTGTTTCAAGTCATAAAAGACTTAGCTTTCAAACTTGATTAGGTTAGGATGATTTAACATTAAGAGGAAGCACCATATAAACATCTTCATTTATTTTACCTTGTAGGAAGGCATTATTTAATCAAGTTGATGTAAATTCCAATTGTTAATAGAGGCTAAAGCTAAAACAAGTCCGATTGTGGTGAGCTTTGCAACTGGTGAGAATGTACAAAAATAATCCAAGCCTTCAATCTGATTATATCCTTTTGCAACCAATCATGCTTTAAAACTTTCTATGCTGCCCTATTCTTTATATCCTACACAAGTACCGAATGTCTATATTCTACAGCTTTTCGCTACGGTGCGTAATAATAAATTCTCACCACATCAAATACACTTAGACGTATACACTCTCACTAAACCATCCATCCATTAGTCAATATCCTACACATTCATTTATTCGCTATCCGCGTCCCATCAATTCCTGCACGCATGCATATTACATATAACAACCGCAACCATGCCGTGCGATTCGTATGATACTCATCTAATATCCTCAATCCTCTTTCCGGTTTATGGGCATATCGCTCATGCCCTACCGGGAACAACATCTCAGTCATTCTACCCCGGTAACTTCTTCACTAGGAACGACACATTGCCATCCTACCCTAGTGAGTACAACTCCTCCACGCTTACTTCAACGTCATCCTCCCATCTATCAGACCATACATACATATATACTATTATATTCTTAGAGATTATTCTCCGTTCATCATTTGAAGATGATAATACAACTCATAGGGACCGACTCATTCATCCGCCAGATTCTCCTATGAACCTATCACTTATCAAATCCTCCACGAGATCAAATAACCGTCGCATCAAGCGAGGTTCTGCAAATCCTCCAAGGGATCAAATATAACCATCGCATCAAGCGAGGTTCTGCAGATCCTACACGGGATCAAATATAACCATCGCATCAAGCGAGGTTCTGCAGATCCTACACGGGATCAAATATAACCATCGCATCAAGCGAGGTTCTGCAGATCCTACACGGGATCAAATATAACCATC